TTAAATGGTCTACTGTTTCGATCCAAACCTACAATTTTTTTTTACTACTATTTTGTATTTTTGACTACTGTTAGGTAGAAGTGGACTACGAATTCATGGATTTTGACTATTATTCATACCTAGTATATATATTAAATGTGAATATATTTTAGAATGAAGGTTATTGTTTTTGATCTTGTTTTATCTCAAAAATCATATTATCAGTTCAAGTAAGTACTTCGTATTGCTTATCGCTGATGGAAAATGAGAGTTTGTTAATTCCCAGGTATCATGTGTATGACCACCAGGATACATTCTGAGAATGTTTTATTACGGTGTTGAATTTTATGATACCACCACATTCACTGAATTTGTTTATTTGGTTAAAAGTAAAATGGATATTCTTGATGAATCAAAAGTCAGTCTGTCTTATCACCATCCCAAGCAACTTTATTATTGTGGTACTGTTGATGATCATGATATTAGAAATTTGATCAAGTTAATAAATGTTGTTGGAGATAAACATGTGTCTATGTATGTAGTGGTAGAAGAAGGTGTTGGGGGTAACGAAATCGGCGATAGAGGAAAAGCATCTGCAACTAACATATCCAGTGGAAAGGGAGCAACAACTCAATATGTACTTTTATATCTCCAAGTATACCTCAATATCATAGTGTTGTTGAAAATGTAAACATAGTGTCAGAACCGATTTTATATGTTGAACAACAAAATTGTAAGTACATCGGTGATGATGATGTTGGTACATATGTTAATGATGTGGGTGCACATCATTACTTTGACCACAAACCACTAGTCGTCGTCAATAAAGTCGGTAATGAATCCGAAAAAGAAGAAATTCCTTTTTTGATTGATGGTACATTAAAAGGATACAGGGAGTTTGCGGATTGTGACAAGCTGGATATATCTGACCTAGAGAGTAATTCTAATGGAGAAGAATCAAATGATGAACCTAAACTTATGTATTCAGATACCATTTTGCATGGTATGCCCCCATTGACTTCATGCCCTGTAAATGTTGATGTGAACATTCCATATCAGATGGTAGGCATAAGTCAAGAAATCAAGCTTCTACACATGTTTGATAACAAAGAGTTGCTTAAGCTAGCAATTGGAAAAAAATGCATGGCAGAGGGTAGGCAATATAGGACTACCAGATCGAGTAAAGAAAGGTTCGAGGTGGTTTATTTGCTTGAAAATTGTTCTTGGATTATTAGGGCAAGAGGAATCAAATCGACTAGTGGTTACCAAGTCACAAAAATTGTTGACCAACACACATGTTCTACAACAAACTTGCAGTCCAATCATCAACAATCAAAGAAAAAGGTTCCCGGCCACTTTATCACTGAGGTTATGGCCGGAGATTATAAGAGAGTTTACCGGGATAATGAAATTGTCAGAGACATCAATTCAAAATTTCCAATTAATATCACTTACCAACAGGCTTGGTGGGCAAAACAATATGTGTTGTTGCTATTAAACGGTACCAAAGAAGATTCAATTACCAAACTCCTAACGTATGTGCACAACTTGGTGAAACATAATCCAAGAGGTTACTCAAATTAAAACAAATGAGGATGATCGGTTTGAGTTCGTGTATATCGTGCTTAGTTGCTCGGTAAGTAGTTTTTTATAAAAAAATATTACATATGAATCCTAATTATTATTTTTTAATGCAATTATAAATTATTGTAGGTACGAGCGTTCCTCAAATATTGTAGGCCGACCATAATATTTGATAATGGCCACCTAAATGGTGAATTTAAGGGTACGATGTTGCTTGCAGTGACGATGGACGGACATAACGAAATACTGCATGTTGCTTATGCAATATGCAAAAGTGAATGTACGGATATATGGTCATGGTTCCATAAAAAACTGCACGAATGTATAGGCAACGTGGAGGACCTTACATTCATATTTGATAGGGCTCCATCCATAGCGACTCAATTGCAAATATATTCCCTCACGTCTTTCATGGAATATGTGGTATCCATTTGTATTTCAACATTTCAGCTAGATTTGGAAACAAAGATACAATAAAGGTAATGTTTTAGGAGACCTGCAAACATATACTGTTAAAGATTTCAATGATGGTATGAAAAGAATAAAAAGGGAAAATGCTACTGTTTGGGAATACCTACGAAACATAAATCCAAAAAAATGGGTATGGGCACATTTTCCTGGGAATCGGTATTTTCTTATGACATCAATAGTGTAGAGTCGATAAACCCAATGTCAAGATTTGCAAGGAAGATGTCAATATTGATGTTGATTGAGTTTTTTTCGTGCAACAATGCAGCAATGGAGTTTTCAAAAGCGGAATTTTGCAGGTACTAATCTTTTATATTAATTATTAATTGAAATGTTATTTTTATTAATTGTATGAAATGTTTTTTTTTGTAGCTGATGCAAAAACAACACTCACCCCATGGACTGATGAGAGTATACAAGCAAATAAAATTGCTTATAATAATTGAATGATGTACCCGATCTTCAATACTAGATTTGAAGTTAAAATCTCTACTAACAAAAGTGTCATTTTTTAATTTCCACTTGGTCCAGCACCATCCTTGTTCACTTTACGAAAACGACAATCTTTCTTGAAGTGACCCGATTTGTTACAAATCCAACACACCACTTTAGCCTTCTTGTTGGAAGACTTGTCATCTTTTCCTTCAAACTTCATTTTTCCATTAGACTTCTTTTGATTCTTTGATCCTTCTCCATCCACCATGTTCACAGAAGATGAACCAACTTGGTTCTTGCCTTTGGGATTATTATCAAGTTCTTGAGTCCTTAGGAACTCTTCAATCCGTAAATGGCTTCCAAGTTGAGTCAAAGTCAATTCCTCTTTGTTATGTTTCAGATTGTGTCTGACCAGTGCACAACCAAGTGTACGATCCCCTAGTCCTTCACTTGACTCACATATACATGTGAACAAGGAATTAGTCTTAATTTCCCAAAGACAAAGGTTTTCATTCATCATACAATACAAGTTGCATGATTCCAAGTTCCAAGAAGGGGGCAGTTTGTCAATGATCACGGCCACAAAAATGGCTTCATCCATTTTCAGATTGTGTTGAGCAAACTGTCCCGGAATCTTTAACATTTCATGGAATTGTTCCATAACAGGCCTGGAGTCAACCATCTTGTAACTCATAAAGTTACTGACAAGAAACTTCTTGCTAGAAGCATCTTCAGCCATGTACTTGGATTCAAGAGAATCTCACAGTTCTTTTACAGATTCGAAATTTTGATAGATATCAAAAAGAGAGTCAGACATATCATTGAGCATATGACCACGACATATGTAATCATCATTTTCCCACTTTGATCTTCTTCTTGTTGCCTCCAAAGGTTCATCTTCAACAGATTCTGGTAAGACTGGCATGGGTGTACTCAGAACATACACCACTTTCAGAGTGGTAAGGAGAAACTTCATCTTCTTCTGCCATCTACGAAAATCTTGCCCTTCAAACTTGTTCAGTTTGTCAAAATTACTTGTCATTTCCTTCACAAAATCACCACTTGCCATGATCACAAAACTACTTTAATCTTTGTAAGAAAATTGGGGTATAGAAAGGCTTGGAAATTCTGAGAATTGTGGTTTCACTTTCAGATTAAAGTATTTGGGTGGTACTCCCAATCTTTAATCGGATAAGACTCATAATTGACAGCAAGTACAAAAAATATGGTTGTTATGAATTTCGTGATTTTTTGTTGTACCGGGAAAAATGATGACCAAAATGATTAAGTAGTTCATTTGTCTGAAAACTGTCAAGGCAGTTTTCTTTGTCCAAAAAACTACTTCAACTGTCAAAACCAATAACAGTCACTAAAACGGGATCATTAATAAAGGTCAAAATAAAGTCAAAAATCGGGTTCATTTACAGAAACTTCAGATTTCTAAGGCATTTTTATATAGCAATATAACTCATATAAAAAATTTTCGTGCTGACCTGGTAGCTCGACCCCAGCCAGGGGCTGCCCCCGGACCCCCGTTTGTTTAGGGGTTTCGCCCCTAAATGACAGTCTACTTTGAATCTTGAATAAACTTAAACAAGTGTGCACTCCGCACCTTCCTTACTTGTTTAATATTCATCAAGATTGAATTTTGGTCAACAAGTCAATCCATTACACTTAAATACACATTGATGATACAAAATCACCAACATTAAGAATGATGAAAAAACGATTCCATTTCCTGCTTAATATATGGGTCCAAAGCTTCAACCAAGGAGTTCTGGTGGTGATGGTGGCTTTCGGGAAAGAATACTACAGTGGCTCCAGGACGGAGGACGCCAAGGAGGTGTCTTTAGGAGAAAAATGGAGACACCGATGATAGCATTTGGCCTTTAAGACAAAGGCGGCGTATAAGAAAAAAGAAAGAGAAGGATTAGCATGATGAAGGAAATCTTCCATGTCTTAATGGTTCAGATATGTTTTCCAAGTCGAATGGTCAAGAGGCCATTTAGAGGTAAATTTTTTACGAAACAAAAGACGCTAAACAAATAGCAAATAAGTTCTTCCCTTAGCATGATCTTTGTCGGGTAACTGATGAATATAAGTACTATTTTTCCCTAGTCGGGTATCTACAACAATTATTTCTAAAATTAGAACCTGGCACAAAAATAACTATAATTACATGTAAGAATGTCTTCCTATAAGTCTCAAATTTTTTTTCAATAAACTTGAAGAAAGACAGATCTGGATGGATTCGAACCACCAACCTCTCAGGAAATGATCCCAAGTGCTCTTACCATTTCAGAGCTTACAGATCTTTCACAATGCAAAGCTACCAACGTCTAGAACCATTTAAGTCTCCTAAACACTTGACAATTAAAATAATCATTTAAAATTTGGTTTCTAAAAGTTTTATGGATAAATGACGCACCCTCCCTGCAACTTACATATTCAAATAAGTTAGCAGTGTCTTTTTTTTTTCTTCAATTTCGACATTCAACAAATATCAAAATACAAAAAAGAATTCCCAATAATCGCCCACTACCATCTATTAAAAATTGATGTTTTACATTTTTTTAATAAAAAAGTTTTTAGACGACTGATTACATAAAGAGCCCCACATAAAACAGAACTTGGTTCCCATTAGTTTTACAACTTTGTAATATACACCCAAGTGAAGACCATAACTGTTTGTTTAAAGACTCGATGCACATAGTTTTAGGATTGCAGGAAACACCCAACATTCAAAGAAAATACAATTAACTGGGTGACAATTCATACTATGTGAGATGCTTTTAGTATCCAAATTAGCTTTCTCTAATACAAAAGGAGGGCTAAAAATATGCACACTTCTCAACTGAAAACGATATCAACAACACTTTCAAAGTCCAATTTACCAACAAAAGGGGAACAACAGCAGAATCACATCCATCAGGAGGTTAACAATTTCATCACTGGAAAAGCATCAAGCTGAAATCAGCAATCAGCAATCTAGATAAAGAAACCTACCGATATTATACTGGCATTCATGCCTTTACTCTTGTTCAGCTTTTACATTAAAGAACTTTGCTTCCTTTGGTTCATTAAAAAGAGCACATGACGACAAATATCTGATGAAAAATACCAAGAGCTGTAGTTAAAACATACCAGAAGCCAATTTTAGAAATGGAAACAGCAGCATCAAGATGAAAGCCTACAACCAGCAAATCGCAGTAGAGATGATACCAACACACCATTGCAGTATTAACAGCATTAAAACTCAAAAAGCCACAGAACTTTAATCCAGCAGAAATCATGTAACAATCACAGCCTTCAAACGCTAAAAACCACAATCCACCAGAAGCTTCCACAATGACAGCATCTGACATTTTTACATTGTGTCCTCCAACCAAAAACCTCACAAGTGGGGAATTGCAAAATAAAATGTACACAGATTCAAATCAACAATGATACAAACTCAGCACTTGATACAAGAGTTCAGCGTCCAGTATAACAATATTATACAATAAAACCTCAAAAATATAACATCACATCCACAAAATCAAGAGCCATAGGCAACTAACAGCCAGTATTTGTACGAGTTCCCTAAAATTTCCACGAATTTCAACTATAAATGCAGAATGCCATTTGGTTTTGGTTCTTTGTAAATTAAAAACTTTCGAAAATCATTGGGTACATAGTAATAAAATATAAAAACTTTCGAAAAGTGGGTTTTTTTGGTTGTAAATGTGTAGAGTTTGACATGATTTTCCCACATCAGTAAACTATCAAATTAATTTGGTGCAACCATTAAACGAAAATGGCCTCTAAGTTTGCAAATGAACTGTGAACTTGTTTAGTAAAAGTATAATGATCTATGAGAAATCTTTTGAACCAGCATAAAATTATAAGACCAAAATATGCACTTATGAAATTATTCATGTATATAAAATTTACCCAGAACTGTTGATATGAAAGGAACGTGAAGCTTGGAATACAGACTATTGAAATTGTGATATTATAGGAATAGGATGGCTCAAGACATTTATCAAAAAGGTTACCATAATCTGAGAGCCATAATTTGGATGGATTTAAAGTCTAACAATGTCTGAAACGATGAAAAGCAGGTAAACGAGAAGTACCTTATTGTGATAGTCGAGCTAAACTTTATCTAGATGATGTTGTTCACTGGATTTGTTGATGCAGCTGTTCGAATTTGAAGTGCAGTGAGAGACACTAAGCGATGGTTTTAAAGAAAACACACAATCAAGAAACACACACAAACAGAGCACACCAGAGGAGAGATCCCGGAAACCTCCGTGCGACCTCCCCTCAAAAACAAAAACTGATACTTTATTAGGATGTTAGCCTGCCATGCGAGCGCACCCATCATGGCAAAGGCCGAATAACAGGATATAACCAGGACATACATGATCCCCTTATCAAAACCTCTAGATACAAACCTCGATGTCAATCTCCACACTTCAAGTTCCGATCAATAGATCAAATTCAAGTTTAGCATTACAAATCAATCACCATCAATTGAATAATTAGTAACACGGATTCGGATGATCCGATTAACGGAATCAAAGGATTCAAACTCATCCACCCTAATCATTATGAGCATCAGAGAACGCTACCAATCGCCAGAAAACCTACAAAATTAAAAACCCGCTTTATATGAATAGAGCATGTTTGTCAAACAGCAATATAATTCTACCAATACGGATGGACTAATTAGAGTGAATCTTCAACGGACTTAAAACAATGATAATCAGACAGATAGAGAAATATAACCTTACATTCCGATTCGTTTAAGCAAAGCGTAAACTGTAGATCTGACATGTTAATCGACAGACCCATGCTGAACAAATCAATCTCTGCCGAACAAAGGTACATCAAGGGCATAAATCAACAACTCGTATCGAAACCATCGGTTTTCCGTAAAACATAATCGATTTATAGAAACACAAGAAAAAACGGATCAAACTGTAGATCGTCGACAGATCCATCACGCAAGTCGATTGAACCAAACGCGATACGATAGAAAACAGATCTCAAATTTGTAGACGAGATATATATTCGTCTGCTGTGTGGAAATTATATCATCTCGTAATCTGCGTTTTATAGAAGCGAGGGAGATGAGGAACGGATGAGATCGAACGATGGGATAGTGATCGAACGATGATAAATTAAGTCGTGACGTGTGCGCATAGTTATTTCCGATAAAGGAGCTTGCACGAGAAACTTGCCATTCTCGGTAAGTAGAAACTTTTAACCGACTTTCAGAAGTCTACGGTTCAACCCACCCGACCCGGTAAAAACAAGTGCACCGCCTTGGATTTATACATTAAACTTGTTCAGGTATCCAAAAACGCTAATCGTTAAATGCAATGTTTTAAAAACCGGTTTTTTAGTTTTTTTTAGTTGAATCGGTATGGTGACCGGTTTTCGGTTCAACAGGTTTGACCGCTGAGTAAACCGGGTTCTATAATTTTCATTTTTTTTTATATTTTTCTACACATACATACATACATACACAAATCAAGAATTTGATGTCCACAAGTGCAAACATTAAAATACATATGAAAATAGGTTGTAGATCAATCTAAATACATTAAAATAACTCATAACCATAAGTTTAACATCAATCCACATGCATTAAAAAGAAAATAAAGTCCTAAATGAATATAAACGCTTAAAAAAACTTCATAACATTTATCATGTGCTTTTATTCAGAAAATTTTTAATAAATATGAAAAAAAATACCAAAGTTTATTATGCAAATGGTTTCAATTCCATGTATTTTTATTCAGTTTAACCGGTTTAATTAAATCGGTTCAACCGGATTTTTATAAAAACCGGTCGGTTCGATCCGGTTCAGAAATAGACATAAAACCGGTGATAGTTGAACCGTTCCCTTCCCCGGTTTCGGTCCAACCGGTTCAAACCGGTTTTTAAAACATTGGTTAAATGGAACTACATAAGTCTTTGGTTCGATTTAGTACATTGAAGTTTTTTTTTCATAATAGGTAATTAAACTAACATCGGTCTATTAATTGGGAGTTTGGCAAAGCTTAAAAAATGAGTTTTTTGAGTTATTACCGATTTGATACCGGTATAAGCCAAAAAAAGTGTTTGGGTAAAAAACAACTTATAGTTGTTGGTAACCTCTAATAAGTCAAAAAGTGATAAGTAACCTACCATTTCTTATTAAAAACTCTTTATTTCATCAAATAAGTTATAAGTCAAAAAGTCATAAGTCTTTTTAAATAAGCTTTGCCAAACACCCTCTAAATCATTTTCATTAGTTTTTAGTAGATCTTAGGTTTATCAGATATACTAAATTACATGAACGGTCCCTATGGTTTAAATTTTTTTCGTGGTTGGTCCCTTACAAACAATGTTCATTACCGGTACCACCACCGCTAACTTCCGGCAGTCACCACCGTTCACCTCCGACAACCCCTCGGATACTAGAGGTATTTTTAGGAGAGATGAAAAAGGAGGGTTTGAAGATACCACTTGTGTATTCAGGAATTAGTTCCGACGATGGCATGGAATCGATACCGAAGATACCACTTAAGTGAATCGCCATCTATCGCGTTGCAATGGAAGAATCGGCGATATGGAAAATTGTATTTTTAATGGGGACAATTTTAATTCGAATTAAGATCTCAAATTGTGTATCACCACCATGTATTTTTACTATCATGTAGTAATGGATCATGGAATAAATTCGAAGAGCGTAAGACCTGGTGGTGGCAGTGACAACCAATTATCGCCACGATGGCTTCGTGTTGTGGTGCAACATCTCCGACGATTCACCGAAGTTCATGTTCATGATCGATTGTGAAGAGGAGATAGAACACCAAGGCGGCGGCACAAAGGCTTTGCTCGAATGATGTCTCATCAGCAGCCTGATGATAATGAAGATGACAGATATCTCTTATAGGATTATAACCCATCCACCACCTCCTCCTCCGCCCCGGCACCAGAAGGTCTCAAATCCATCATCGTTCACCTATCGTGTATAACTAAAAGGGAGGAATCTGGAGAGATGATGGTTTGACAAGGGATTTCAAGCTTTCATAAGTAACAAAGCATTCAACAATTTCAAAAATAATAAAGCATTCAACATTTTCAAGCGTTCAAGTTTTCCCATAAGTAATATCATCAATGGTTAGAATTTGGGTAATCTTATAGAGTCGTTGGCGGTTGCCGACTAAAGGTGGGCAGAAGGATTGAGCGTCGGTGCGCCGGTACTGATGGCAAATTGGTATGACGAAGGGCTAGCGTTGGAGGTTATGCCAGCAATGGCAGCAACACCATAAGGTGAGCAGGTGAGCAGCAATGGCAAGTGGTGACGGTGATGTCTAGGGTACGAGAAATAGAGGTTGATGCCATGGAGTATGGATTGAGAAAGCATCAACTGTAAGAGAAAACGATGATAGGGTTTGGTTTTTTAAATAGGTTTTGAGAAAAATAAAAATAACATAAAGGTAATATATTTTTTCAAGCTTGAAAACAAGGTGTAAGAAGTGTAAAAGCAAGACAACATAATATCAAAAAAAAAAAAAAAAAAAAGGGAAAAAAGGATAAATGTGTTTTTAGACCATCTCCAACTCTTAATATTATTTTTTTACACTATACTTATAATTATAATGTAAAAGATAGTATAAACACTAAAGTCCTTCAACCCATTACACTATATTTAAAACAAAAAGAATATTCTAGGTGTATTGTTTTTTATTCAAAATTATATTTAGTGTTGCACCAAATATCAACACTATATATAGTGTTACACTGAAATTCAACACTATATATAATGTTAGGTATAATTTTAGGTATAGCGTAGGGTTGGAGAATTATAGTGTAATTTATAGTATAAAAGTAGCTTTTTAAAGTAGGGTTAGAGATGCCCTTACACATACAAAACTGCCAAAAAGCAAATGGAATCAGCCAAAATGACTTGCGGTGCAACGTTTCCAAACCAAAAATCACCGGTGTTAATAATTTCTTGATTTCTCAGAAAGAAAACAGTTGGTCTATTTTGTAAAGCATATGGACAGTTCGTGTAATTTTGTCAAAATTGTAGGTACATATTTGGTGAACTTATAATAAAAATTAAATTGTACATGATATAACTATAACATGTTATCCTACTTATGGAATGCACATTACTTTGAGAATTCGTACCAGTTGATTGTTTGGTGACTAAACTATGATGGATGATTGATGAAGATTAGCTTACCCTATGTTGCTGATCGCTAAGATTGTTGCTTCAGGAATTCTCTTTAGACATCTCCATGCTTCTGTTTAGTTCCACATTGGATTCTTGCTCTTGGAATTCCTATTGAATATCTCATGTTTGTGACATCTCGTGTTGAGGTTTGCTTTAGACACAGACCGAGCTTCCATCTATGCACAAAAACTGGAGCATTTTGGATCTATCAGACACCATTTTCAAACTCACCATCAGGGTATGCGATTTCCAATAAAATAGCCATACGAAGTAAACTGAATGGATACACTTCCCAGCATGATGATGTCATTGAAAGGTGTGCGAGTTTCAAGAAAGTTGTTGACATTGAAATTTTTTAGTGCTTTTCACAACTATACTTGCTAAGTCAGCAAAAGATTGTACCTGCAAATAAGACTCGTGGGAGTAGGTGCCTACCATCTTCTTCATCTCTCTTCCACCCTCAACTTCCTCCAGCTCAACCTCTTCTTTGCCACCACACCTTGCCAAGGCCTCTTTGCCATTCACTCCCTGAAGCCTAATTCACTGTATACCAACCAATAAATAATGATGATAAAGAATAAGTGGATAGGTACATTACTGTTTCATAAAAACGGAAGAGGATCACCTTGCAACAACTTGAATCTACCTAACTACTCCAACACAGCACAGATGACAGTAGATCAGGTACACGCAAAACAAGTAGAGATGAATGTTCAAGAATATGCGTTAAACTTTTCCTATTTCAAAGTCCCGGCGTGACAACACTTTATATAAAACAATGACATTTCATTCTTTTTGTAAATATATTTTGTACAAATCACTTCAGTTTCACTTTTTAGAATCATTAATATCTTAAAGATCTTTCCCAAAAGTCAAAACAGATCTGGATGGATTCGAACCACCAACCTCTCGGGAAATTGATCCCAAGCGCTCTTTACCATTTCAGAGCTTACAGATCTAACAGCATACCTCCCAACTTATTAAGCTCATAAGTTTCGCAATATTGTCTATCAAATTTGTCTCAAAAGATGTGTTAGCATGCTTTTAAAGGCAAATAGCTGAATAGTTTAAATACCATTCCTAAAACATTCTTTTCCCTTCATTAACCGCATCCATATTCCACAATACTATTATACACAAACACTTAATTAATACGTATTGGGTTACTAGGAACAGCCATGGCAAAACTTATAAATTATAAATTTGTTTAACCAAAGTTTTTAGACGAGAGAGCAAGCTTAAAGAGAATTATTGAATGATCAGTAGCACCTCAAATAGAAATCATTCTTACCTTGCTCCATTAGTTTCAGGAACTTAGACCTAATTGACTGTTTAAAACTTAATGCAAACATCCATGAATCATATGAGCAAATTAGCTTTTCTCTTACAAACGTGGGCTTAATAAATTTAGTAACTAAACTGAAATTGTCTGTTTGCAAGCAAAGGTATCAATAAAACTTTCAATGATAACTTTGCAACAGCTGAATCGCATCGATTTGGTTAACAATTTCAACACTGGAAAAGCATCAAACTGATATCAGCACATTTGATCTCCAACCATGTCTTTATATGTACTTTGTTACACTTCTACATTAAGGCACTTTGCTTCCTTTGGACCACGAAAAGGCAAAACAGACATGTGAGGTACCCATGAGAACCTGCCAGTTATCAACAACATCATGAACAAATTCTAATGAAAAAATGACAATAAAGCTGTGACAAAAACATACCAGGAAACAAATTCTTACTAGGCACACAATCACTTACAAATAAAAGCATCAATAGAAGGAGCTCCAAAAACAACAGCACATAACTCAGAAATCCACAGAGCTTTAGTCAGTCTTCAAACTTCCACAAGTAGCATCCACAACTAGATCATCTGAATTTTTTACATAGTGTTCTAACCAAAAACCTCACAAAAGAGGGATAGTAGAACAAAACGTACATTGATTCAATTCAACAAACGACACAAGTTCAGCCCACAGATGGCACTGCTACAAACAAATGTTCAGCGTCTAGTATATGATTACATTAAAATGTAAAAAGATAACAAATCCACAAGTGAAAGCCATATACAACTCAAAATATGAATAAATAAATAAAAATTATAACCAATAATAATATGAATTCACTAAGCATACTATCATATTTTAACAATTGTGGACATTCTTTTTGGTTATTAACAATTTAAAATGCATTGGCCACATCCCAAGGATTGTACGAAAGCTCTTTTAAGACTACTTTGCGTCTTTGCCTGTATTGGATGGATATTTTAGGATAAAATCTCAGTAGGCGCTCATAATCTTTTTTTATATCTAATGGTTCCCTGCGACTATTGGATTAATGTGGAAAACTTGGTTTTGATTAATGTGGAAAACTTGGTTTTTTCCTAGACCCGATAAAGTTGCAATTTCAGCGGGATGATGGTAATAAAACCTCTGGTAAAATAAAACATTCGTCTTTTAACAGTCGGGTATAAAGTCGATTCAAGCAAATAGCCTCCAAATAACGCAAATCAATCAATTGTAAAATGATTTGTAGTATAATCGTCATTTAAATCTTTTGAACCAAATCCTGATCATAAAGTGAAACCATATTTTAAGCTTGATGAACTATTTATGCATATATATATAAATAAACCCAAATTCCAAATTATTAATATGCTTAAAACATGATGCAAGATTTTTGCAATAGAGACGGAATTAACGATTAAGGATTTCTAAAAAAAATGAAAAGCAATTAAATTGGAAGTACCTTTGGTGATAATCATCAACATTATATAAATGATGTTCTGGATAATTGTTGTTGTTGTTGCGCAGATTGAATTCGAATTGAAGTGGGAGGAACTGAGCACCAGTATCGAGGTAAACACAAACATACACACACCCAGAGAGAGAGAGAGAGAAAGAGAGAGACGCACACCAGAGGAGAGATCCCGGGCAAACCCCCGTGCGACCTCCCCTCAAAAACAAAAATTATTTTTTATTAGGATAGTTGCCTGCCATGCGAGCGCACCCATCATGGCAAAGGCCGAAAAACAGGATTTAATAATAACATACATGATCACCTTATCAAAACAAGACAGATTACTACCTCTACATACAAACCTTGATGTCAATCTCCATACTTCAAGCTCCAATCACTAGATCAACTTAACTTCAAGTTTCGCAATACAAATCAAACTTGGTCAACAGAATAACAAGAATCAAGGATTCGGACAATCCGAAATCAAGAGATTCACAATCATCCAACCGAATCATGATAGGCATCATGGAAAACCACCAATCGCCAACGAACCTGCAACAATAGAAACAATAAGATCGAATCAAAAATTCAACTTATATAAACAGAACACGCAAAAAATAATTCTACCAAAGGTAAGAAAAAAGAGATTCTTCAACGGTTTAAATCAATAATAATCAGAACAATAGATGTGAAAGAAAAACATAAACTTACCTTCTGATTCGCACTAGAAATGGCATAAACTGTAGATCTGAGACGTTGATCAACAGATCAATGTTGACCAAAATCGAATCTCTGCCGATCAAAGGTAAATCAAAGGCATAAATCAACAACTCGTATCGATCCCATTGGTTGAACAATCAAACTCTGCCATCAAAGTACATCAAAGGCATAAATCAACAACTCGTATCGATTCCATCGGTTTTCTGGAAACATACTCGATCCATAAGAACATAAGAAAAATCGCACCAAACCGTAGATCGTCGACAGATCTATCGCAATCGCAAGTCGATTTAACCAAACGAGAAACGAAAGATAGCAGATCTGAAATTTCTAGCAGTACGAAGACGAGATATATATTCGTTGGGGTATGGAAATTATATCTTCTCGTAATCTGCGTTTTATAGAAGCGAGGGTGTTAATGGACGGATGAGATCGAAGGATGGGATAATGATCAAACGGTGGAAAACGAAGTCGTGACGTGTGGGCATAGTTATTTCCGATAAAGGCGGTCGCACGAGAAACTTGCAATTTTCGTTTCTTGCCAGGTAAATAGAAACTTCTAACCGACTTTGACAAGTCTACTATTCATCTCGCCAGGTAAATAGAAACTTCTAACCGACTTTGACAAGTCTACTATTCATCTCGCCAGGTAAATAGAAACTTCTAACCGACTTTGACAAGTCTACTATTCATCTCGCCAGGTAAATAGAAACTTCTAACCGACTTTGACAAGTCTACTATTCAACCCACCCGATAAAAAATAAAGGGATAATAACTTGAAAGGGTAACGAATTTTCGATTTTGTTCACATTTAGTCATTAAACTTTTTTTCGTTATCTATTTGCCATTGAACTATTGAAACTGTTCACATTTTAC